AGAGTGTAAGGCCTCAGATGAATTTTAAACATTTATTGATCCATCAACACCCTACCCCCCCCCCCCCCAGCCCCCCCCCCCCCAAAGACACACGCACACACACTGAACACTGAATGGCAATAATCCTTGTGCGGGGGCCCTGCCAGAGACCATGAGGTGTGCATATTAAAAGTTTTTACTGAAGCTCCACAACACCTGTGATCCACTCACCATTGAGCCCTGCATCACAAGAACATAAATCACAGCCTGTGAGTGGAATATCTCACGGAGAGCCAGCATTCCTCTGCTCGTGCTGGGATTAGGAAATCAAGAGGGCACACACACGCTCTGTAAATGCTACACAAGGCTCCAAGGAAGCCAGCGTGTTGAGAAACAGCCAAGGAGGCTCAGTCAGCTCTGTCATTTATAATGGTGGCAGACTGACAGAAGCCCCTGGGACATTACAGCTACAACCCCCAAACCACTGACTGTATGTACCCTCCAAACTAATACAAATTATGGTCTAAATGAAGCAGATGAGCTGCTGCAAATTGCAGGAAGTGTTTTCCTGCATGAGTCTTCATTATCTTGTTAGTGTTTCAGATACATTTTAGCAAGATAAATATAATTTTCCCTACAGGGACAGGCTGAACAAAAACTTGGTATTTGCACTAGACATTTAAGAGAATCTAAGTTTGTTTGTAATGTAAGAAATATCCAGGAATTATCCTTGCAGCCTCCAGTAAGGCAAACTGTACTGTGAGAAATCCAAGTATTTGATATGCAAAAATCCCTCAGTATGTATCCTTGCCCTGTGTTAGTCAAAACATTGATGAGATCATTTGCATTTATGGAGTGAATGATTACACAAGTACACTTTATGAGGAATAAAGGGCCCAGCTCAGGTTAAGGCTGATTGACAGCAGCATTGTCTGCTGAGGCTACACTTCATTTTGAGCAGCCCGCGCTGACCCCAGGCATTATGGCCGTGGGGGCAGTGCCAGTCTCTCAGGATGCTGATTAAGTGGGATAAACCAGCCCCCTCAGACACAAGTGGCCCTGCTGTCCTCAGGGGAGTCCTACCTAACCGCCTGGGCCTGGCTTCCTGCACTATAGCCCCCACCATGTAGACACATTCACATGCTTACACAGGAAGCAGTGCAAGGATATACACACATATATAAAAAATGTAAATCAGATTAAGTAGCCTATATTGAGACTATAGAGCACACTCAAACAAATTTCTACATTTAGGGAAAATACAATGAATAAAGCTAACAACGTTAATAACAATATATATAGGCCTATATGGCCTATATTTATATTTTCTCAATTTATTTTGCTTAGCCACTTTTTAAACAGTTTGCTTTAACCTAATGCACGACATATGCTCTAATGCGTTTGTGTGTGAACTGACTCAACAATGGGGATTGTACAACAATTGTAAGGTAATGGGCGCCCTTAAAGCCTTTGTTTCCCTGCAAAGCAGCACTTAAAACAAGCCTTTCAAGATAAGCGGCCTGCTGTTGTAGTGAGGCTTCCCCGCTCCCCCAGGACACCGTATCCATCACCAGATGCCCCCGGGTGTGGGCTAACAAATTTGTTCATTCTGGGGGCTTACATAACACCCAGAGAGCTTTAGCGCGATTTGTTGGGATTTTGAGTGATGTGCCAAACAGAGGTCACATAGTCACACTGTCAGGGGGAGCGCACAGCAGTCCAGTTATTTTTATTTAAACATTTCCTTACAGAGGCTTTGATTCACAATGGGACATTTTTGTTTTATTTCACCGGTTACAATTAGCCACCAATAATTCAAAACTCAATCATCATTTCTATGTTTTTTCCTCATACTTGTCTCGTGACGGGATGACTGGCGTGATCAATTATTAGGCTATATTAATGGGAGATCACCAAACAACAAGTCACCGCAGCGTTCAAGTGTCAGAGTTGTGGTGCATATAGGTCTACTGATTTGTGGACTTTAATAACCAGCTGCTTACCATTTCTGCTATCTATCTATCTATCTATCTATCATCCATAAATACATCCATACATAGGCTACTTGTCAAACTTTCTCTTAGCTGTCTGATTTTCTTGCTGGACTTTTAAATTGTTGGATCTATATTAGGTTCTGAGAAAAGAGAAAAGCCAGTGCCCTCTACAGGACACCTTTGACGGTGAAGGATGGAGACACACACAAGCAACTGAAGAACCTTTCACAAATCCTGCTTTGCTAGACAACACTTTCTTAATTCAGCATATTCATAAAAATTAAGTTAACTGAACATATTTTACTGCAAAGTCAGGGAACTGACAGAGAAACAGATTAGGCTATAGCTCTGACTGAAATAACTTAAGTTAAAGATTCACTTTGATAAAGATTGCATTTATCATTATCATTATTATTACCTGTCCTGGTGTACTTTTTTGCGGGTAATAACAATTAGATAAGATAAAATGGCAGCATTAGGGCACTAGTGTTGTCACTGTAGATAATGCATTTTTGGATGTCACTGTTTTCTCAACATCTTCCATTCTTCCATGTGGATGAATTAAGTAAAAAACATATTTTCTCCTCTCTAATATAATGGAGTAATAATATATATTTTTTTAGAACGCAGTGGAGATGACAAAAAACGTTCATTCACTGAACACAATACAACTTTGTGGTTACAGTCAATGAAGAAAACCTTGTTCAGAATTTAAAACACTTCATCAAAAACATAAATTGAGTCTCAAATAACAAATTTTCTCGCTCAGAGCTGCTGCCTCTTGGATTGACTGTCCTGTCATGATGGAGGACTGTTCTGTGATTCAGTTTAGGAATCAATGCAGTATCATCAACAAACTCTGTTGACGCTGTCTGTCATTGATGAGCTGCATTACAAATGCAGAGCAGTTCTGAAGGCCAAAGACAAAGTGAAACATTTACATTTAGAGTACAGACCATTATACATATACACTTCATCTTATTTTCCACATAAAAATATTAGGTGAAACAGTATACTCTATTAAATTTTGATTACAATGAATCATAGTGATAATTACATTTTCTAATTAGATAAAAGCACACCCTTTAGTTTTGCAGTCACAAACTAACAAACAATGGAATTAGATAGAAGAAGGGCTACCTCAGCAGTGCAACAAACCTTGGCAGGAAAATGGTCGAGATGGCAGGTACAGAGCCAGATTGTAAACCGTATTTTCCTCCCAAGAAATAGCATTTGTTTGTCTTGGAGGGCAAAAGTGCTGCAGCCTTGCCAGAGGCAGCTTTCAAGTAGAGATATTAAAAAATATATTTTCTTATTTTTGTATTTCTTCACCAAGAGTGGGGCATTAAAAGATGCAGAAATATGAAGATACATGCCAAGATATTATTGCACATGTGTGGATTGATTGATATTGATCTTTCTCTCTCTTTCCATATTGTGATGATTGCTTTAATGATCTCATTCCATTTGAGGCTGTAAGGGTTTTCTCTTCTAAAGCCCTCAACCAAGTTATCATCTGGGCAGATTTTCATAGTAAAATGAATCAGAAGCCATCTTTATCTTAACTGCCAGGATGCATTGCCTCCAAATTGTTATTAACAACAAAGGCAGGTTACATCTTCTCTGTAGGTGGTCTTATCATTGTTAGGGATGAGGTCCAAATCGGGGGTTCGACCTGCAAAGTTGAGGAGTTAGCCTCACTCTCCTCTGAGTTAAAAAAAAAAGTAAAGATCTGTTCCTCCATGTGAAAAAAACTTCAGATCAAGTGCTATTTCCCCCCAAAAAAGTACATATCGACAATTAGAATGCTTTCACAATATGCTACAGTTTACCTTATCATAGAAAAATCCAGAACTTGGCAATGTTAATCTTAAAACTTCTCCTAAGCATCATTTTGTAATTTAAAACAGTCAGACCCCTTGGCTGCTTTGAAATGAGGAGCAGTAAAGTGCCCTGTAAATGGCAGTTGCTGGGTACAGTGCTCTGCTGCTAAGACAACAGCCAAACTCGCCCCACACACACATATATCACTTGCATTTTACTACAGTCTGTGGCTCCAATGCATACACTCTTTCACGTCGAGTCCTGTGATAAAAGACACCACTGATTTTCTCAGATATTTAACTCAGGAATGCGCAATTATATTATCTATATGAACTAACCATCACAACATCGTCAACTGCCCCTTGAGGTCAATACCAATGAGGAAAACCTTCAAAATGATATGCTCTTTGATGTACTCAAACTAAATTGTAAATATTGTTTGAAGACTGCTATTATTTAAAATCACATTATTATGAATCAAAGGTTTTTTTAAGGTCTTAATCACATTAAACATGTCATAGATTGACAATTGTTTATTTTTTCAAAGATGTAGCCCTTACTCAAGCCATTCAAAAAGAAGCATTTATTTATCATGCAAGAAATTAGACGTGTGCAAAAAGTGGAAAGGCACACACGCCCAAGGCCCCAGTAATTACATTTTAAAACAACCATATGAATTATGGGATACAAATGAGAGCAATGAGGCCTATCAGTTATAAAGTAATAGCTATTGACAAGTAGCTAGGCCTATGCCTAATATGGTCATACAAATAAGTAAAACCGTACCACCAGCATTTTAGTAACTAGATAACAGCCAGTTTGAATAGACTTTTTTAGATTCTCCTTTAAATCTTCATGTCTTCCACTGATAGGAAAGTTTTTTGTTGCTTCACATTTGTTTCAGGCCCCAGACTGTACAGTGGACCAGACCAGGGAAACTCACGTGACGCTGATCAGGCAGTGATTGAGGAGAGTGGCTGTTGCTTAGCAACGGAACGCTGAGCCGCCCCCATCCAAGACTGTAGAGCTCGTTCCACTTTTCTTTCCACAGAGTTGTAGCTTCGTAACTTTCTCCACAATAAGTTAACTAATTACTTACGGGGGATTTTACAGGAGCTTACAAAATCCAGTTATCTTTTTTTTTTCTTCCGGTTTTGCTGAGGTAAGTGACGGAACTTAAGCCTGTCATGGTGGTAGAAAATCATGTCCGACGACGAAAGTGTGCCTTCTTTTGTGGAGGATGTCAGAGTAAAGTTCGTGGAGGAGAAAGTTTGTAGACTGCTGCAGCTGCACCGTCAAACATGGGAGAAGAGTGTTGTGAACGAAGAATTTCAAACACGTCTGAAAGACTTCTTCGAGAAGGACTCTGTAATATATTGCTTTTCATCAAACAGGGGTCATGTGGTCGCTTCCAAGGAGGTAACTTTATGTTCATACAGAATCTACAAAACACAATACTAGGAGAACCCATTCAGCTAGCTACATTTAGAGCACTCAGAGGATGTTGAAGTCGTCAGCTTACAGGAGCATAACATTATATTTGGTTTAAAAATGTTAATACAGTCATAATTTTCTTCTTTTTCTTTTAATACAGGTTCCCACTGTTGCTCAAAACAAGCAAATATATATCCTTAAGAAGACTGTGGCTGCTGTTACACCTGAAAACTTCAGACAACTTTTGGTTTTTGGACTTCTGTCTCCATCACTATTACTGCAGCTGACATGCACAGTTGAGCAGGTGATTTATTCTTTCACGTCTATATTTTGTTGTGTTTACTGCCAATTTTTTTTATTAGCATGCAGATTTAAAGGGAGCCTTTTTGCACAACAGTGAATTATTTCTACCTTTTTTCTAGGTGTGTTTTCCACTGCTTTCAAACAATAAAAACCATCAGATGTGGCCAAATTTTATGTCTGAAGACATCATACGACATATTGAGAGAATGTGCTGTAAGACATCAGTCATACAGGGGCAGGTTTTGGGTAAAACTATCCTCCCTGTCCCATCTGCAACCGATTGGACTGACAATTCAAACAGCACCATCAAAATGTAAGAACACAAACATTCATATCATAGACTAGGATTTTTGTTTATCCTGTAAGTAAACAAATGCTTTCAACATAAACTTTCATACTCAGGTACAATAACTATGATAGGGCACTGGCCCATGCCATTGAGACCCTGATCATTAACTGGACCAATGTAATCCAGAAAATTTTAAAGGAGGATTCCTCAGACATAATCATGACAGACTGTAATCCAGGGCCTAATGCAGAGCTGACGTTTTGGGCTTCAAGGAAAAAGAACATACAGGACATTTATCATCAGGCATGCTATCTTTCCCTTGGATCTTAAGTTAAATGATGATTTCATTATCTTTCACCTCAATGTATATCATTCTCTGTAAAACTTTCGTTGATTCTTCTCCCTTGTAGCTTCAGAGTCCTGTTGTTCAGAAAATGGTGAAGATATTAGAGATAATGGATAGCAGTTATCATCCCACAATCCAGACTCTAATAGGAAATATATTTGATGGTAAGATAAGAAATAGAGGACAAACACGTTTTCAAACTCACTGCAATATATGATTATATAATTACTGAGAAATATTTTTTCTTTGAGTTTGTTGTCTTAGCTTGATTTTTGTTTTCTAAATGAAAAGCACTTCAAGAATCCCAAGACATTGAACTGCACCTACAGCCACTTCATGAACAACTGTCTAAACTGGAAAAAGAAGAATTTTGTCACTTGGACACATTCACTCCTGCACTGTTTCACACTCTATATCTGATATGGAGCAACTGCCAATTTTATCAAAGACCTGCACGCATTGTGGTGTTACTACAGGAACTGTGTAATCTGTTCATTGAGCAGGTAAGAAACATTGTTTTTAACACCTGCATTGAGTGATTGCATGAATTGACACATACATACGACATTGATGCCATATGCTTACTATACTTGGCTGATATTAGGCAGTAAAAAAAACTATTCAGTTACTTCCTGTTGGTGTGAAGCTAATAACAGATTCAAATTCTTTCACTGCCCAGGCTTCTACATACCTCTCTGCAGATTTGCTTCTCAGAGAGGATCCAGTGGAAAATCTACAAATGGTGAAGAAGGTGATAAAAGTGTTGAGATGTTTCAGAAACAGTTACCAGACTCAGAGGGAGAGGTTGGCCAACCATGTGAAACATGCACCCTGGGATTTCCCATCTGCCATGATATTTGCACGTTTCAACCAGTTCCTAAAGCGTATGCTGCAGCTGGAGGTGAAATCAGAGTTTTGGCTTTGTACTTGGTTTAGTTTAGCACAGCGAGGTTGTTTTGAATTGAGTTTTGTGCTTTCCTACATCTTATGTTATCTTGACAGGACTTATTTGAAATCATGCTGGACTTTCAAAGAATGGAAAAACTGGAATTTGGTGGGCTGAAAGGAAAACTCTACAGTGAGCATGCTGCTCAGATGTACAGAGAGTTTGCTGAGCATTGCAAAGTATTGCAGCACAGTGAAAACAGCCCATTTGACCTCACTCAAGTAAGCATTTATGTTATATTAAGATCTCTGATAACAGCTAATTCAGTGATTTATAATGCATGGCCTAGCACTCAAGTCCATCACTTAATACTGTTGAAATTGTCTCTTTTGTTGTAAGGGTTTTGAAAATGAGTACAAAGAGTTCAAAAGCAAGATTGTAGACTTTGAATACCGCCTTGCCAGCCTTCTATGCTTGGCCTTTAAGGATTGCTCAGGACTGGAATCAGCATGTAAAGTAAGCAAGACTGGATAAAAGCAGGTTGATGATGATGATGATGATGACGACATTATCAGCTGAATAAGAGAATAGTGAGAGAGAGTCTAAAGCAGGCTATTTGTTTTTGTCCTTTAGTTGCTAACTATCATTGGACCCTTCCTTGAGAGAAGACAAATTCGACAGGTATTCAGTCACAACTTCCTTCTTCTGCAGCAGCATTTCAGAGAAGAGCTGGAGAAATGTAAATGTCTATTCAAATTCCAGCTCAACCAGGTACTGTTAGCAAATTTGAGTATTAACAATAGTCATACAAGGCATGTTATGTTTTTCTAGCAATAACCGTTTCCATTCTTTCCTTGCAGATCGAGAGCGGCTTGACTAAAAATACTCCTCACACATCTGGAGCTTTGAAGTGGGCGAAAATTCTCAGAAAACGCATTCAAACACCATGGGAAAGAGTCAAATCACTGTTTGACAAGTCAGTAAACATTCTATTTGCAATGAACGAAACAACAAGTAGTCAAAAAGACTTACAGATAAATAACTATGCAATATGTTCAGGCCTGCAGAAGGTGTAGGGACAGTGAACGAATACATGGAGTTACTGAGTCTCCTGGACCAGTATGAAGAGGACATTTACTCTAACTGGTGTAATGGTTTAGATCATACCTGCCTGATCAACCTGAACCAGCCCCTTCTCTCACGAGATACCCAATCTGGCCTGATCTCAGTCAACTTTAATCCTAAGGTAATTTATGGTATGTCCCTTCAAACTAGAATGACTGATTGTAAAAGATAAATTATTTATGTGTAACAGTCAATTTTGGTTATCATTTTCTTCTAGGCTTTCAGTTAGAGACACACTTAACCACAACCCATCTTTGATTGTTCACTTTTGTCCTCCCTCCTCAGCTGACTGAAGTCTTGAAAGATGTGAAGTATATTCAGACTCTTAGTAACATCAAGATCCCTGCGGCTGCTATGACTGTTTTTGAGAAGCGCTTCATGTTCACAAAAGTAAGAAACAAACACACCATCTTATGTGGTTGCTTTTACATTGATGAATTCCTTCTTGAGTTCAAGAGTAAGCAATATTTCTTTCTTTAATCCTTTTTAAATTCTGTGACTTAAACATTTATTTTTCAACATTTGCATTTTGTAGTATATGAGCAGTCTGCAACTATTGGTGCAGGGGTACAACAAGCTAAAGCAGACAGTGCTAGAGGTGGAACTTCCTCTCATCAGAGCTGAGATGGAGTCCTTAGACGTGCAGTTGAAAAGGGCAGAGTCTGACCTAATGTGGCAGGATCCAGACTGCTGGAGCTTCATAAGCACTTCCAAGGACCTGGTCTATGGACTTGTTTGTCGAGTCGGTAAAGCCAAGGAGAACTGTGAAGCCATCCAGTCAATGATGAAGGGATGGATCAAACAGGCTATGTTCTGCAGAAAGGAAAACAAGAAAGGCTCACTCATACAGCTAGAGGACAGGGGTGAGCGGGTCAACAAGAAGTACAGCTCCATGAAGAAGGATGGAAACTCTATCCACAAGCTGGTCCAAGTGAGTGCAGCTTGATTTATGACTGTATTTGATATGTTTAATTTAATGCATTATAGATGTTTAATGACTACTTGTGTTGCTATTGTGTTTAAACAACTAAAAATATGAAATTATATAATTGATTCTAAAACCTTAAATCATATTGCAGAAAATTCTTAATCATCTCATTTCATTTCAATACTTTCATCATTTTTGGTTATTTGGCCTTTGATTGCTCATTCTTATAAGATTAATCAAAAAAATTAAATTTATTATTTCTGTACCCCCTAACACAATTTAAAAAAACACATACTTGTGCCCAATTGTAAAAGATAAGCATTCAAACCCCCCTGTTTAGGCTGTATTTATTTATTTTTAAACATTTCTTATATCAAAAATTCCATCAGGAGAATATGGCTCTTTTAAATGCTGACCCTGATTCAGAAGCATGGCGGTCCTATCTGGAGTTTGTGGATGAGATGGTGGTGGAGGGGCTCTTCAGCTACATCAGCCACTCTCTTCAGTTCTTTGTGGACAATATGGAATCAGGGCCAAAACAGAAACCACTGTTGGAGGCTCAGTTGATGCTGAGAAGCTCAGGAATGGTCTTCCTGCCATCGTTGGAGCAGGAAGCAGGCGATGGCTTCTATGAGCTGATAGAAGGACTGGTCAGAGACATATTCAAGACTTCAGAGAATATTTACAGAGTAGCTGCTCATCAAACCATGGAGAACTACCAGGTACACAACTTTAAATTTAGATTTTAAGCCTGAATTTATGCATTGTTAAATGGTTTACTTCTGATGAATTCTCACCTGTGCAAAACTTTTTTAGACAGTTTTGCAAAGTCACAGTAAACCCCTATATTTTAACCTGCCTCACTAACCATTTTCTGTTCAGAACTTGGAGTTGGTATATGGTTCACTTTAAAATAGTACTTATAAGCTTTACAAGTAAGCTTTCTATGTCAGCCCCTAACAACCTGAAAAATCTACTCTCTTATTGTGCTCATCGCTTTCAGCTCATTACAGAATGTTCTTCTACAAATACTAGATACTCCTCATGTTATTTATCATAAATGAAACTTTTGCAGGATGTGATGGATGACATGCTGGATTTGTTGGAACTAAGACAAAAAATAATGGAACAAGTGGAGAAGGTTCTCAAGAAAGCTATAAATTACCAGAGAGAGTTTGACTGCTACACACATCTCTGGCAAGGCGATAGGGCTGAGTTCCTCAGCCAGTTCCTCCTGTTTGGACGTCTGCTTACAGCTGAAGAGATGGAAACGTATGAAGCAGATGCACTCCCTGAGAGCCCACCTACAATCAGTAACTTCAAAGAACAGGTAAAAAACTCATTTAATGTAATTGATAGCAATGTGCTACATATGAAAGGTATTCTTTAATCTCTGTTTTGGTCTTTATTTTACAGATTGATTACTATGAAGATCTGTATGCTGAAATTTCCAAGATGGAAGAATTCAGAGTATTCAATGGATGGTTTCGGGTAGATATCAGATTCTTCAAGGAGATGCTCCTCAACACTTTGAAGAAGTGGAGCTGGCTTTTTAAAAAACACCTCTTGACATATGTCACCAACAGGTACAATGAACTCCTGCATGGCTTAAAACCAAAACAATATTATAGCAGTTTTTCCTCACTGTTCTTGCTTCACCTTTCAGTCTTGATGAGCTGCAGAAGTTTGTGCGAGCCACTACTGAAGGACTCGGCCAGTCTTTGGCACAAGGAAACCACTGTGGCTTGGTGGAAGTGATGAGTCACCTGTTGGCTGTGAGGGACAGACAAGCATCCACAGACAAGATTTTTGAGCCACTTAGAAACACAATAATCCTTCTGGAACAATACGGAGTGACTATACCAGACCAGGTCTACTATCAGCTGGAGGTCAGGAAAGGAACGGGTTCATGCTCCTACAGTTATGTGTTAACAATATGATTATGTGTTAAAAAATAATCAGATTGAAGTATATTAATGATGTAGCTATTCAACCTTTGAAATGCCTTTTTTTTCTCTGCAGGAACTTCCTGAGAAATGGAGTGAGGCAAAAAAACTAGCCATAAAAGTGAGGCATGATGTGGCTCCCATGCAGAATGCAGAAGTAATGGTTTTACGCAGAAGATGCATGGCATTTGAGGTTACTGCTTTTGGTTCTTATATTCAGAGAAATAATAAATGCAATGTGTTAATGCTATTGTATTAAATATCCTAATGTGTTGACCATTAAAGTGGGACTTCTTATTTTCCAGATGAAACAAAGCAAATTCAGAGACATGTTTAAAGAAATGGCACCCTTCAGTTACAATGCAGCGCATCCGTACATCAGTCTGGACAAAGTAGGAGTTAAAGCTTTAATTAAGGATTAAAATAACTTTAATTTGCACTATATGTACACTGGGACAGCATATGCCATGTGTTTTGTTTTTCTAGACTGAAAGAGCAATCCGAGAAATGGAGAAAGAGGTATCAGTACTACAGGAGTCCACCAATCTGTTTGATGTTACTATTCCTGACTTCAAAGACATCAAGCTCTGCAGACAGGAGATTGTCGTGCTCAAAAAACTATGGGACATTACTGTGTTTGTGCAGGTGAATGGTCTAACTTATTTAGTATTTTTAAATGTTTCTATTCTAAATGAAATTAAAATACTGCTATGGGCCCCATCTCACCATACATAACTGATCACTGATTCTTTGAATACCCTGTAGCCTCTTAATGTCCTCATTAAGCACCCTCAGCTGATTGACCCCTCTGCATTTGTCTTTATCTATACAGAGCAGTGTGGAAAAGTGGACAATGACCAAATGGAGGCAGATAAACGTGGACCAGATGGATGCAGAATTGAGGTGGTTTGCCAAGGTGAGGTCACCAACAGAGCTACATCACACCAGTGCATCTCTCCTGCTGTCTTGCTGTCATGCACCATTGCGGTTTGTAACAGATGCCCCTGATAACTAATTATGTTTACGTGCCTTCTGTTTGTGTAGGACATGCGAAGGCTTGACAAAGATGCTCGCGTGTGGGATGTATATTCTGGGTTAGACCTTTATGTAAAGAACCTGTTGACATCACTGCTGGCCGTGAGTCAGCTACAGAACCTGGCAATAAGAGAGCGCCACTGGGTGCAACTTATCAGAACAACACAGGTGCATAAGTATGCACAGCAGAGGTCTTATTGCAAAGCAATGTTTTCTTCCTGCATTACAGAAACCTGAGACTTTGCATAACAATAAAAAATCTTTTGCAAACAGATGGACTTCACTGTGACTGACCACACCACGTTGAAAGACCTCTTGGCTCTGCACCTCCATTTGCTGGAAGACAAAGTCCGCTACATAGTGGATAAAGCAGTCAAAGAAATGGCTATAGAAAAGGTTCATCTTTATTTATTAAATACCTGTGGTCAAGCACATATAGAATGAACACCAATATAGATAGTTCCAGTCATATTGATTCATAATATAATGTTACACACTGTATGATGTACTGTATGATTGGACTGAATTAGCTTTGATAGTTTTTATCTTAGGATGCAAATATAAAAATAAATTACATCAAACTAGAAGCACACCTCATGAACATTATTATCCTTTATACTACCGTCATGCAAAAAAATTAAATCACTCCAGGTCTATAATCGGCCTTATGACAATGTATTTTTTTAAATAATCATGCAGACTCTCAATAGCTTATTTTTCATTAGAAGAATAAAAAAATTACCACTTCATAAAGACACATTTCTTCTGAAATAAATTACACTTTTTTGCAGATCTCCTGAGTAAACATTGAATTCAAGTGTTACTCTGTGACTAGATCTAATACTTAGTATTAAGAGAGGTTGTAATCAATATATTTTTTTTAATGAATGGCAATTTTCTTTTCTTTTCAGGCTGTGACACAAATAAATCAAACATGGGAAGCAATGGAGCTTTCATATGAAAATCATTACCAAACTCCTGTGCCACTACTTAAATGTGATGAGCAACTTATTGAAACTCTTGAAGATCATCAGGTACATGTATATAAGTGAATTTCTTATGTTGTACAAGGACCTAATGTCTAGAATTTAAGCGAAGAAAAATGCATAATGGCAAGTTCTCAAGCCCAGTTGTCTGTGAGAAGCACTGATAGTAAAGGGCTGAATAGAAATGAGAGTGCAGACAGGGGCCGCTCTGTCTGACTGTCAAACAGCACAACAGAAGAGAGGTCCCTATTGAGTCCTTAGATTTATTGCTGCTGTAGGACACAGGGCATTGTTACACCGAGGCAGTCTTTGTACATGTACACCAGATGTATTGGGGGGGGTTATAGCCTGCAATTAGAAGTTTTGCCACTCTACCTCCTCTATCTTTGTGCAACTAGACTGTTTCCCTCCCCCATTTTTTATGGCCTGGTATGCAGATGAGGTTGACTATGCACTTAAATTAAATTGACAAATGTCATAAGTGTAAGGTTAACAAGATATGACTTTCTCTGCCACTAATGTAATGATGGTTGGTTGCATTTGAGTTTTAAATTGGACAAAAGGCTTGGATACCATGACTCATATCTCCCTGTCTTCATACTCCTCAAGGTTCAGCTCCAAGGCATCTTTCAGAGCAAGCATGTTGATCACTTTATGCATCAGGTAGTGGAACTACAGAAGCAGCTGACTGTGGCTGACACCGTGCTGATGGTCTGGATGGAGGTCCAAAGGACATGGGTGTACCTGCAAAGCATCTTCAAGGGCTGTAATGACATCTGCCAACAGCTGCCTGCAGATGCATACAGATTCCAAGCCATAGATTCAGAATTTCAGGTCTGCACTTCAATGCATGTTATGTGCAGTTATGCACAGTTCATTGTTGTCATTGTTGTTTACATTGAGATTTTGTTTTTTTAGGAGCTAATGCTGGACCGTGCTCAGACTAAAAATGTCATTGAGGCCACCAACAAACTTGCTCTTTTTGAGAAGTTAGATGACCTACAACAAAGGTTCATGCTATTGTCATCACACTTTTAATTCTTGTTTTGTTTGCAGCTGTAGTATTTTGATCTCTATTCTCATGTTCTCTCCTAACAGGCTGGTATTGTGTGAAAAAGCTCTTGCTGAATACCTGGAGACAAAGAGACTTGTCTTTCCTCGATTCTACTTTATTTCATCTGCAGACTTGTTGGATATTCTCTCTAAAGGGAGTCGTCCCAGAGAGGTACATTTATGTGTATACATTTTTATTTTTCACATTAATCCAGTGTCACTCTTTCTCTCATATAATGCCAATTATAAGGACTACTGGTAATTCTGTTTTTCAGGTAACTTTTCACCTCTCGAAATTATTTGACAACATGTCAGACCTTGAGTTTGCCGAAAATAAAGAGTTGGATAATCCTAAACTAGCCGTAGGCATGTACAGCAAAGAGAGAGAATATGTTCCATTCAAGACTGAATGTTGCTGTTATGGGCCGGTAAGATTACATTCACTATCAAAGGATCTGAATTTGTTATCACATTCCTGGAAAAAACTCAACTAATAGTATTTATGCTTGACTTTAGGTGGAAGCATGGCTGACTGGTCTGGAGGAGACTATGCAAGAATGTGTCAGGGGTCACCTGTCTGATGCTGTGTCTGTGTACGAGGATCGGCCCAGAGAACAATGGATTCTCGACTTCCCCGCACAAGTGGCTCTCACTGGATCCCAGATCTGGTGGAGCAACGATATGGAGCTTGTGTTTAAAAGACTGGAGGAGGGATTTGAGTATGCCCTGAAAGACTACAACAAGAAACAGGTACATTTTTTAAATTAGTTCACCCACACATTTAAACATCTCAATAAAACAAAGCTATTGGGAACAATGGTGAAATGTGGGGTTGTGAGATCATAAAAAAAAGGAATAGTAAAGTATTAGTAAATCATTTCTCAATAGGGTCCAGACATTGTTTTTCAGTCATATCACTCCAAGGTTACTGATACCTCACTTTAAGACGCTTGGCCAGACAGGGGTATTGATTCAGTACTGCTATAAATTGTGGCCTTTTAAATTGGATTATGTAACCACAATATTGTTATATAGGATCCAGTACAACAAAACCACAAATCAGATCCTCAAGAACTCACACAAATAAACATCTCTTTGGATGAAAATAGTTTCTGATACCAACTTTAGTATTGTGTTAATTAACATTAGGTTTGAAGGAACATTACTGTGACAGAAATGTAATTGTATGAAAAAGCTCATCCTTTTATTTGATTTTGCTTATAGATATATGATAGAGGTGCATACTGTTTATTTAAATGTTAATCATATCATTTTATTAGACTGATTTGTGTGTAATCTGTGGGAAAAGAGGTTAATAATTAAGATGCTGGACATGTTTTTCATAATGCCATCATAAGCACATCATAGTCAGTGGCCTGAGCCAGGTTTTTGCGGAGGCTCATCGTGAGCAAAGCTCACAGTAATGTTATCACTCTTGTCAGTTTCATCAGCAGTATTTAAGGTTAGCATGTCCTTGGTTTCTGTTTGAATAATCTCTCCCTCCCTTCAAAGCACTGTGCTGCACTGATTGGATCTGCTGTCAAGGAGGGCCAGTGACAAATTCAGGACATTCAGTGATGTTTTGGTCAAAACGAGAACTCAAAACCAGTTTTGTTTATCTTAGTAGTCAAGTGTGAGAAGGTGTTTTTGTAAATTGTCCATATGTATGACTGTGTAAATGTGTCTTTATCTACAGCTTTTATTATGAATGCGTAAACATGGAGATCTATTATATAGTTGCCAATTCAGTTTTGTGTCATTTTTTAACTCTCGTCTGAATTTCTGCTTTTATTCCTTAGCTTTAATCTTGTCTGTCTTTCCTTCCCCAGATTTTTCATCTCAACTTGTTAATCAGCATGCTGCTTGGAGATCTTAGCTCGGGCGACAGACAGAAGATCATGACTATTTGCACTATTGATGTCCATGCGAGAGACATTGTTGCCAGCCTCATTGCCCAAAAAGTAATGGCATACACCGTCCCTTAACTTGACTTTCTTTCTGGCCCAGTTCAACTAACATTGGTTAAACATTATTAGTCATTAGATAAATGTGAAAAAGAACGAATGACAGCATTTTTTCAAGTTTTACTTTTCTGGGCTTGGAATACAAATTATGGGTACAGGAACCATGCAACAACAAAAAAACATTTAACATTTGAATTGAAAGTTAAAAGATAACATGATACACCTGAATTTGAATGTTTCAGTTACTGACTATTAGAAGTTTAATCTTAGGAGACAAATAAAACAGAGGCCATTCTTAATATTCACTAAATTGGATAGACTCTAATATAAACGATGAGTAAAAGTCAGTGTTTTTTCAGAAGTTGGGATGAATTGCTTGCTTGTACCATACCTCTTGTAAAATATGATGTCTAATGTAACGGTGTCAAAATATTAAAGCATTAATTTGTGTTCACAGGTAACTACCTCACAGTCCTTTCAATGGCTTTCCCAGCTTCGACATTGCTGGTATGAGCAGCAGCATCACTGCTCTGTTAACATTTGTGATGCTCACTTCCTTTACTCATACGAGTATCTTGGAAACACACCACGTCTCGTCATCACTCCCCTCACAGACCGGTGAGTCTGCAGCACTCTATGCATGTAATGTCTCAATACATCACTTCATTCAGCATTGCTACAGTATACTATTTGTTTGTGTAACTCTGTGTGCTGTTGCCATGGGCACATTTAGGTGCTACATAACCCTAAGTCAGTCACTCAACCTGACCATGAGCGGAGCCCCAGCAGGCCCTGCTGGAACAGGGAAGACTGAGACCACTAAGGATCTAGGCAGAGCATTGGGCATCATGGTATACATCTTCAACTGTTCTGAACAGATGGACTACAAGGTGCGACATTTCAGTAGACAATTCAAAATTGAGTTGGTGTTCCAATAAACACTTGCGCGAATGCAAAATGTTTTATTTGTTTTTGTTCAGTCTATTGGAAATATCTACAAAGGCCTGGCACAGACAGGAGCATGGGGCTGCTTTGATGAGTTCAATCGTATCGCTGTGGATGTTTTGTCAGTGGTAGCAGTGCAGGTCAAAACTATACAGGATGCTATTCGGGCTAAGAAGAAAAGGTAATCAAATTGAGACATACATGTAGCCTTTATGCTAAGAGTGAAAAATGGGTTAAGTTTCTGTGGGACCTTGCAGTTTTCTGTTCCTGGATCAAGACATTGTCTTAAAGCCTTCTGTGGGGATCTTCATCACTATGAACCCTGGGTATGCAGGCAGGACAGAGCTACCTGAGAACCTCAAGGCTCTTTTTAGGTAGGAGTTATATGATAACTTTATTTAAACAGTTTCTTTAGCATTGGCTTGGGTTATTTGGCTTGATTATCTTTTGTCCCACTGTAGACCCTGTGCCATGGTGGTGCCTGACACTGAACTTATCTGTGAGATCATGTTGGTGGCAGAGGGCTTCAATGGTGCTAAGCCTCTAGCAAGGAAGTTTATTTCTCTGTACACTCTCTGCAAAGAGCTGCTCTCCAAACAGGTAGGAGAAAAGCACTTAAAGCACTGTATATTTTTATAATCTTTGGTTTAAACCATACACTGTAAATATTTAAACAGAGAAAATTGATAATAAATTCAATCAGCTTTACATATGCAAGCACAGTACTGCATGAATTTGTTCAATATATGTTAGTACTTGGTATGATGAATGTATTTTAAGTTTAAGCACAGGAATAAACATATACAGTCTATTCTCATATTTCCAAGGATCACTATGACTGGGGTCTGCGTGCTGTCAAGTCTGTTCTGGTTGTGGCAGGGGCACTGAGAAGGAAAGACAAAAGTAGACCAGAGGATCAGGTGAATTTCATGTGTGTGTCATCTTGCAGCCACAAGCGGAGGACACATTGTTTTTGTGTAATATGCAATTAGACTTCTATTTTTCAGGTGCTTATGCGTGCACTGAGGGACTTCAACATGCCCAAAGTAGTGACTGAGGATGTGACGATCTTTTTGGGCCTACTGGGAGACCTTTTTCCAGGCCTGGAGGTGGAGAGAGAGAGAGACTTTGAATTTGAAAAGACCATCCGAAAGACCACACTGGAGCTCAGACTCCAGCCAGAGGAGACGTTCATTCTTAAGGTTTGACACAATATGGGGTGCCTGATCAATGTTCTAAAACGAATCTTATTCTTAACAATTTTTTTTTGTCAGGTGGTGCAATTGGAGGAACTCATGGCAGTGCGTCACTCTGTCTTTGTTCTCGGAAATGCAGGGACTGGGAAAAGCAAGGTTGGAGATGAAATAAAAATGTGTCTAGTAAAAGCCCTATTTGATTAGTATGGTACATTGGATTAAATGTATTTCTCTTGAAATAGATATTGAGAGTTCTTCATAACACCTATATAAACTTGAAGAAGAAACCAGTATGGAATGACCTCAACCCAAAGACTGTGGACAGAGATGAACTGTTTGGCTTTATTCATCCTGCAACCCGAGAGTGGAAAGATGGTAAACAGAGCAGATTTTGAAATTTAAAAAAAAATTACACCGTAAACCAGTTGTAACTCGTATTAGATGTCTTCATCTTGTAATCTCAGCTGCTTTTGTGTACTTCAATCTCTGTGTAAGGTTTGCTCTCATCACTGATGCGAGAGCAAGCAAACATCTCCCACAAAGGACCTAAGTGGATTGTGTTGGATGGAGACATTGATCCGATGTGGATTGAATCACTCAACACAGTGATGGATGACAACAAGGTACCTCCCTCCTGTTCAGCCATACACTATTGTACAACACATAGCAACAAAGGTGGTGGAGAGATGGAAAAAGATGTTATTCTCCCTCCTTCGGAAATCACTTCCTGGAGTTTGATTACTTGGAGGTCTTTCATGTCACAGTTATCTTGTTATTTGAAATATCCTAAAGCCATCTGTCAAATTTGATGAGATGGGAGATGTTCCCCCTATAGCCTTGGTCTTGTACACAAACAACCATTCAAATATTGTATTTTTTTTAACGAATAACGTATTTCAGGTTCTTACTCTGGCCAGTAATGAGCGTGTGCCCCTGACTTCTTCCATGAGACTTGTGTTTGAAATCAGTCACCTAAGAACGGCCACACCTGCCACTGTTTCCAGAGCAGGAATTCTCTATGTAAACCACCAGGACCTGGGCTGGACCCCGTGAGTTGCACAGTTTGTATAAGAGCATTTTTAGGTTTCAGTGCAATGCTGTTATAGTATTATCTTTTGTTTTTCCAGAGAAGAAACTGTGTTGTAGTGGACATTGTCTAACACCCACTGCTGTGTACATATAGTAGACTGGTACTCCAGGATAAGTTACACTCATTAAGTACTTGTCTATTGGATTGTTGCTCAGGTACGTTGCCAGCTGGATCGACCAACGAGAACGTCAAACAGAAAGGGCTCACCTCACCATACTGTTCGAAAAGTATGTTCCTCGTTGTGTAGAACAGATGCGAAACACCTTTAAGACCATAACTCCTATCCCAGAAAACTCTATGGTGCAGGTACATAATAAATGGACACATACAGAGATTTTATTTCTTCTTTGGTAGGCTTGTTCAGTCACAAATCATAATAAAGTGTTTATTTTCTTATCCTTCAGACACTGTGCACTTTGCTCAACTGCCTCCTTTTGCCAGAAAATATTCCACCGGATTCTCCAAGAGAGCTCTATGAAACATACTTCGCCTTCGCCTGCATTTGGGCTTTTGGTGGGGCTCTATATCAAGATCAGGTATTTTTACGGTTTGATTCCAATTGATTGTATTTTCTTTTACATATTAACTCTTGTCGAGCAATGATCAGGGATATTTTTAGCACATTAGTTTTAATATGACAATGGCATTTTCTGCAGAGCTATTTTTTAAGCCACTAGGGCTCTTTATTTTGTAGGAGTTAAATACTGAACATTTATACCTATAAAGAAATTGAACTTTTTTTATTGAAAAATGTCAATACTTTGGTCAGTGTTTCAGGAGACATCAAGTACTGTTGGATAATGGTATAGGCTACTTTAAATAATAATCTACTTAGTTATCAATCTGCTCAATCTCTGTGTTGTTTTTCATTCATTTGTCATAAAGGTATACATTAATGTTGAAAAATGATATAGTGTCTTTTGTTGAGAGACATGTAAGGATCCCAAGAATAATACATGTTAAACTGGACTAATGGTGGGGTTGTCTTTTAAAATAATATATATTACTGCTTAATATTGAACCTTATATGATTTTCTCAGCTCTATGATTATCGGGTAGAGTTCAGCCAGTGGTGGACCAAAGAAATGAAGACAGTGAAGCTTCCAGCACAGGGTACAGTGTTTGACTACTACCTTGAACCTCAAACCAAACGGTTTCTGCCATGGAGTGATACTGTTCCTCCATTTGAAATGGAAACTTGTGTTCCATTACAGGTAAGAATATTAAAGCTTAAATACATCTGCATAGGATGCTTTATGTAACTCCAAAAGCTATTTTCAAAGTAGTTTGACAAATAATCACATACACAATTACAAGAAGCAACCCTATTAAAGAAAAATTACCAAAAATGAACAATGCACACATATAACAATATATATAAGCCTCAGTGAACATAATAAGAGGGCAGAGTCACGTCATGAGGTTATGGCAGGGGTACAAGAATGGATGATAGGCTTTCCACTGTGTCTGATTACCATCTACTACACCCCATACCAGACTGTGTAGGGGTGAAGGCATGAGCAACAAGGCTTGAGCTATCACCCACGCGCTATTGTCTTTCTTTATGCTCCTGCATGCAGCTGTGAATGCTCCAAAGGCTCTTGCTGAGCCGTAATTAGTAGGGTTTTGTTCTGAGCAAATGATGCTATTATGACAGAATAGTTGTAGTGTACTGGGGAAATTCAAGAAATTATAAATCACATACAACTCACTGAACACATGTCTGTCAATAAATCACACTCAAAGAAAGCCATAATAACTATGTATGTTTCTGTTCTCTGTCTCCCTGCTGGCTTTATGATTGCAGGCTGTTCTAGTACACACAGCAGAGACTGTACGTTTTCGCTACTTCATGGACTTGTTGCTGGAGAGGAGACAGCCTGTGATGCTTGTGGGGAATGCTGGAGTGGGGAAGACAGCACTTGTCAGGAATAAGTTAGACTGTCTTCCAGAAAGTTACATGACTACAAAAATACCTTTCAACTACTACACCACCTCCCTCTCGCTGCAGGGTTAGTGGGTTTACAGATTATAATGTAGTTGAGACTAGCATATCAGGTAAACCGTAGCACCATCTGCTGGTAATGTTAAGGTTCCGTGCGGAAGGAGAGAAAACTGTTGCCTCTTCTCTTACTGTAATCATTACTCAGGGGTGGAAAGAGAACAAAAAATATATTATACTGAAGTAAAAGTTATTATAGTTATTCCTGATAAAGTCTTACCCAAATGCAAGTACAATTAATTACCGGCCTATGAATCTACTAAGTAAAAGTAAAAAGTACTTCATTTGAAATATACTTAAAGTACTGCTCACTGAGGTTTTTTTTTTTTTTTTTTACCTGAGTTGGGTAGGGGTGTGGGCGTAAATAAAAAAGTATCTCTCCTTTCTGGTTTGTGCCAAAAAAGGCGAGAGAGTATGAAACTCAACCCAGACTGATGAATTAAATAAACATCTGTGTTGTATGAAATGCAACTGTTGAATGTAATCAGGAGTCATATGTGGCTCTGCTCTATACTATTTTAAAAGAAAACTATTCCATCAGCATTGTGTCTATTTTCTGATTCGAGGAAATGTTATTTATTACTTTCCACCCCTGTCATTATTTTAGTCTCATGAAAACCTTTGAGTTAGAAGTGTATGTCATTTGGAAAATACTATTCTAGCCCTTTCAAAAACACTAAAAACAACTTTGGTCCAGTATGTTTAAGGCAACAGTAGTTTTTATTGTTGTTGATTTGTTATTGATCGCTGTGTTTTGTAGGGACTTTGGAGCAATCCTTAGAGAAAAGAGCAGGCAGAAGCTTCTTCCCTGTGGGCAACAGAAGGATGGTCTACTTTATAGATGATCTGAACATGCCCGCTGTTGACGGTTTTGGAACAGTACAACCTCACACACTGATACGCCAGCATCTGGATTATGGTCACTGGTGAGAAGAATCTACAAACAGTTATTCTTTTATGTGTTTGCCTCATAGACCACATCACCAAACAGAACATTTAGTCAAACTGCAATATTCTCTCATCAATAAACCCCCCTTTTTCTTTCTTGCTCTTTACAGGTATGACAGACAGAAACTGACCCTGAAAGAAATACACAATACCCAGTTTGTTGCCTGTATGAATCCAACTGCTGGAAGCTTCAATATCAACCCAAGACTACAGGTTGTCCTACAGTTTAATTAGCCTAAATCTTAAATTCTGATGTTAGATTAAAAGAGGCACGTTTTACAAGAATTATTTATATTTGTTATGAACACCAAATAACCTGTTTGTCAGTGTTATAAACATTCTTAAAGTTATAACCTATACTTAAAGGTACTAAGTATAGTATAGGTTTAAGAAAGTATAGATTGACGTTTGTGTGAATTAGACACACATCATTTGATTTTTAAGCTTTGAAAGGTAATTGTTTATCCATCCAAAATGCTGTCAAGAATCTTGAGTCAATTTCAGCTTTTAGCAAAAAGTAATTGTGTAGAAACCTTTCAGGAACTCATTTTTTATTAACTGTTTTACAGACTGCTTAAAGTCTGTGTAGATAAAAAACATTTCCACAGCAATTATGCCTCAAGTAAAACTGATCTTAAGTCCCCTACTGTATGTGGTTTAGATAAATATTAAAAAAAAAACAATGTAACAGATATCAACACAATATTTTATATTGAGCATGTAGATGCATGGGGAGACTTACTTTTGATGATTTAGCAGCTGCAACTACTAAAAAAAACCCTGACATGTGTAGTTTAAATACATACTGTATGTACACCCAAATTAATTCATATTCAAAGTACTTGCACAGTCAGTTTATAAAGTTAGATTAAAGTAATTCCTGAACAAGCATCTTTTATAAAAAGATGACACATTGCCATACATTTTCTGATCTTGTGTTGTCTTGTCCCCACAGAGACATTTTTCTGTGTTTGCGGTGAACTTGCCCTCCCCTGAGGCTCTGAAGTCCATCTACACTCCAATCCTGTGTGGGCACCTGAAGCAGAAACACTTTAGTCCTCTGGTTCAGAGTAGTGCTACAGCTGTGATCCAAGCTGCTATAAGTCTTCATCACAAGATCCTTCACAGCTTTCTGCCCACAGCCATTAAATTTCACTACACATTTAATCTACAAGACTTGTCCAACATTTTTCAGGTATAGTTGTCAGCGATATTTGCTGTTTGACTTTTGATGGAAAAGGTAATTTTTCACAAGGTTATCTTTGTTACTCAGGGCATCTTCTTTGCTGGGCCTGAGAGTGTGAAACAGAGCACTGACCTGGCACTGTTATGGATCCACGAGACCTGCAGGGTGTACTCAGACAGGCTGGTAGATGTCACGGACCTGCAGCTTTTCCGGAAGCTCCAGATGGAAACTGTACATGAATGCTTTGAGGTGCAACACCGATACTGATGAATAGAGTACACAGTATAAATTGCTGTTCTCCAATTTTTAAAAATGACATAGATTTAATAATTTAACTGATTTATGATGCTTGCCCTCTTCTAGGGCCTGGAGGACAAAGAGATGACAAAGCAGCCCCTCCTCTATTGCCACTTTTCCCAAACAGGCAATGAACCCTCCTATACTCCTGTTAAAGACTGGTCTTCCCTCAACTCTATCCTCACTGATGCTCTTAAGACCTACAATGAGCTCAATGCAGCCATGAATCTGGTGCTGTTTGAAGATGCAATGCAGCATGTGTAAGTATGGCTGGTATTATAATAGATATAGTGATCATAACAAACGAAAATATTTTTCCTTTGCAAATGTTCCTGGAATGGGACAATACACATAAACTATAAAAAGTTTAAAAAAAACTTTTGCATAAAACAAGCATAAAAAAGGCATTGACTATATATGAAATTGAATGGCAGTTGATTGCACTAAGGGAAGCTGATATGTGAGTAAATATAGCCACCATGCTCCTGAAGTGGAGACAACAAATTAAGAAAAATCAATAGATAAAAAAATTTATGTTTTGATAAAGATATCTCATGGCATAAAAAAGATTGTGTTGTTTCTAGCTGTCGCATCAGTCGCATCCTGGAGTCCCCAAGGGGTCATGGCTTATTGGTTGGGGTCGGGGGCAGCGGGAAGCAGAGTTTGACTCGTCTGGCTGCCTTCATATCCTCTGTGGAAGTCTTCCAAATCACTCTGAGTAAGGGTTACAGCATCAAGGACCTCAAGGTAAATGTTAATGCTGTTAATATGCTACAGCGAAAAAGAATATAAAGAACAGTATAACTTATTTGTATATACTTTAATGAAAATGTATAGTTTTTGAGTGACATGTTTATACAAGGTTTATTCTTATTTTGTTAAATCTCCCTTATGGCTGAATGAAGTGTGTTCATTTTCAGATGGATCTGGCAGGCTTGTTCGTCAAGACTGGTTTGAAGAACCAGCGAGTCGTTTTGCTCCTTACTGATGCACATATACCTGATGAGCGGTTTCTGGTCATTATTAATGACATGCTGGCATCAGGTCAGGACCATACAAATCTCTCTATGTTCTAGCTGTGTTTACCTTAAAAATATACCTGCTGTCATGAGAGAAGTATCATTTTCATCATGACTGTGCATAGTCAAGTATCAAAATTGTTACACCTTTGAACATATTGTTCTTAATAATCTGTTAAGTCTGTTCCCTCCTTTGTAGGAGAAATTCCTGAGCTCTTCAGCGAGGAGGAGCTTGAAGGTATCGTGTCAGGTGTGAGAGCTGAAGTCCGTGCCCTTGGACTGCTGGACAACAGGGAGAACTGCTGGAGATTCTTTACAAACCGAGTTCAATTACAGCTCAAGGTCTAGTTTTTCAAATTTCTCTCTAAAGACAACATTATTCATTTGTGTTTTCAGCTGTATCACTTTGATAATGAAAGTTGTTGATTTTTATATTGCTCCTTCATTTAAACAGACTGTTCCAATATTTGTCATCGCTGTTCTGTACTGGTGTTGTGGTGAGCTGGTCTTTTCTGACATCCTATTGTTTCCTCTTTTAGATTTATTTATTTATTTCTAAATACATTTTAAATTAATAATTCTGGAGAAAAAGAGGATTTTCTGGCACAAACTTCACCAACTGACAAGGTGCATGAAGAGTGAAAGGCTTAGAAGAGGTCAAAATGCTCCAGCAACACTTGTAGTAAGAAGATCAACTTTATTATCAATTTAGACCGACACGTTTTGGCTCTTGGCCTTCATCAGGGCAGAATGAATTCTGGGCACTGATAACCTAGCAGTTAGGTTGCACCCCATGTACAGAGGCCATAGTCCTCCAAGCGGGCAGCCCAGGTTCAAGTCATGACATATAATTCCCCACTCTCTCTCCTAAAGTTTGACATGCTGAATGAACAGAGCCAGATGAACTGGGGGGTCAAAGGGAAGGAAATTCTTGTTTCAGTATACACACATGCCATCCAGCTAATCTTCATGCCAGGGCCTCTGGTAGCGTCACCGTCTGCTACAGCCAACAGGGAATGTGGCTGCCTGTCCTCATGCCAAGGCCATGAAAGTGGGGACTCAGATGGCTGCCAGTTATAATTTCCCTTTTAATATTTCTGCTCCATCTAGGACCTATGTTAATTTACATTTACATGTGTTGATGTGCTTTTTGGCTGTATATCTTGCCATTCACATGTGTGGGGATGCAAGTTTGTACACGCCTTTTTACTGTATGCATGTTTGATGGGGTGACTGTTTCTTTTTTTCTACTTCCAACCTTATAGGTGATACTGTGTTTGTCTCCAGTGGGCAGCAGCCTTCGTGTTAGAGCTCGTCGATTCCCTGCTCTTGTTCAGTGCACCACCATTGACTGGTTCTATCCTTGGACCCCAGAGGCTCTGCAGTCGGTCAGCTTCAGGTTCATTCAAGAGATTGAAGGCATTGAGGTCAGACATTTAAACTGAAGTTCCTCTTCTCTCAACCAAACCTTACTTAAGTTTGTTACTCCAAAAATGTGAGAACTTTGTAATATAGCACACAACAGTATTTGTTTTCAGTGTTTTCAGGCTTTATCTGTGGGTTTGACTTACAGTAGAATTGGCCATGTACCCCCTTATTCACGACTGAGTTAGACTTTAATGAACACCTTGTAATTACTACAGTGCAGCTGGATTAACTTCTCCATAGATTCCTCATCATTAGTTCTCAGCTGAGCTTCTGACAAATTGCTGAACACATGCCTGGAGACTCACAGTGAGTGCAGGCATATCATTGTTTTCCATCATAGCAGTGGAACGATCACAACCCAGAATCATTCATGTTAATGAGAGAATAGTGATTAAGCACATAATGACCCACTAAGGAGGCACAGCTGTCACACCCAGGAGAGTGTCATCACATATGTGAACATGTGCCACACTATTACTTTCCACTGCAGACATCTGTCCTTGTTCAGAATTCCAGGTGTAGCAAAAAGTTGCAACAAAATGTGGCAAATTACTGTATTATGAATGTAATTAATGACTGTATATCTTTTAAAAGAGGCAGAGAAACAAGCTATGAAATCATCATTTATTTTAAGTTAAAAATGCACACACCACCATTAGTTGTCACAAAAGGCCAATCAATGAGAACTTCTGTCACATCTCAAGTAAACATAGCATGATTTGTCAAAGAGCATTATGTCAGATCTTAATTAATAATGATTTTTTTTCCATCTGGCTCTGTGATCATTAACAATGGCTTTTTGTGAGTTATGGTCAGGTTTGATCCTTGTATTCTCTGCTCATTTGTTTTTGCTTTAATTGATTGCTAACTATGTGATTAATAGAGGCTCTGTGTCATTGAGCTCCATATGATGAATACCATGTTTTAATGTAGCAAAACAGACGCTGTACACAGTGTTCAGAAAGTTGGAAGACACAAGACATAATGTAAACAGTGTGCATGTTTTACAAGCTACACGTCAGTGGTCTAAACATATTATTTTCCCCGAGGTTTCAAAGCCTAATCATTCCTGCAAGCTGCACCTAAATTTCAGATTGAGTAAGTCAGGGCCAGCCTAGTAAGATGGCAAAATTTGTAGATGAATTCAAAATTTATGAAGATAATATTTCACCTCCATCAAGTTGGAGATGTTAAACTGTGCTCAATCCCACTCGCCGCGTTCTCCCCTCTCCCCCCTTGTCTGCTTATTTTTACAGCCTGTCATCCAGGAATCCATCAGTCTTTTCATGGCCTACGTTCATACCAGTGTCAACCAGGCAAGTGAAAAATACCAGTGCAATGAGAAGAGGTACAATTACACCACCCCCAAGAGCTTTCTCCAGCAAATCACCCTGTACAGGAACCTTCTGGAGAAGAGTCGGGCTCAGCTCCACCACAATATGAACCGGCTTGAAAACGGCCTTCAAAAACTCCAAACCACTGCCGCCCAGGTAAACATCTTCATTATATACAGTGGAGGGGGATAATATTAGGGTTTGGTTTAAGGTTCAAGGTTGAAGTATGAAAGTTATGAATAGTATTAGTCTTTAACAGTGTTGACTTTTCCCTGACATTAAGTTTATTACACATTAAGTATGTGTAATCTTTTTTCATTTTTCTCCCTCTGTTTTAGGTTGAGGATCTAAAAGCTAAATTGGCATCCCAAGAAGCTGAACTGACCTTTAAAAAACAGAAAACTGAGGCTCTAATTACAAAGATAGGACTGCAGACTGAGAAGGTTAGCAGCAAGAGGGAGGCTGCAGATGTTGAGGCACAAAAGGTGAGATATGCTACCATGTATTAGTTTCATAAAATTCAAGTTTGCACCTCTCGTATCACACTGTTCACTACATTCCTTTTGTATGATTTAGTTCATTATGGTTGCTTTGTACAGGTTGCTGTCATCCAGGCAGAAGTCTCTATCAAGCAGAGAGATTGTGAAAATGACCTCACTAAGGCAGAGCCCTCACTGACAGCTGCTACAGAAGCACTAAACACCCTCAACAAGGTACCTCAATTTACCAACCTGGAAAAAAAAATCATCTTCAGTCATTGATAAGATTAAATGTAAATTTTATAATGTTCTTTTAGATGAATCTTACTGAGCTGAAGGCCTTTCCCAACCCTCCAGCTGCAGTGATCAATGTAGCAGCAGCTGTGATGGTCCTGCTAGCTCCTCGCGGTCGAGTGCCTAAAGATCGGAGCTGGAAGGCGGCCCGGGCCTTCATGGGCAAGGTTAAGCTGTCATCATGTCAATCACATCTGCCTGATTAATGCCAATCTAATTTGTGTCTAGGCCTTGACCCTGGCCCTGCCCAGCATCTCTTCAAAGTTCACATTACAGCTGGGTGGCTCTATGAATATGCTCAGTCAGAAGGGGGCAAGTGTGTCTCAACCTTTAGCTGCTATTAATACAGAGTGGTCTTAAATGATATATTTTGTTTATTAAAAAGCCTGTAAAATTTAGCATGAAAAAAGAATCAATGCTTTTGTGCTGTTATAGCATTTTAAACATAATAGATTTTAGATTGTGTGAATTGGTTGATGCCAAAATTAAAAATGAATAGGTGTCTGTAAACCTGTTGTGCCTACAAAAGGTTTTATTTGTGTGTGCCTGTGGGTTGTTTACAGGTGAAAAAAAGGGACAAAAGGTCAGTGACAATAAATGAGGAAAATGACAACTATTTTAAACATGGTGGTTTTTAGAGTGTGTGAGAAATATTTTAGTATGAACCTTGATAAATATTCAGTATCTAAATATTCAGTTATCCAATTCTTTCTGTTTGTTTTACATATAAAGAGTACATAGTTCTGTTTTATAGAAAAACAATTATCCTTTTAATTTAAGACATTAGTTTTTCAGATGTATATGTTTTATTTCAATCTTTAAAATGTTCTGAATGTGTCTGATTTTAAGATTGTATTATTCAGGAAATTCTTCACAACAGCACCTGAAATCATTGTAAGACTAGAATTATTGTGCAGGTGTTAATGTAGCTCCTGTTTTGTGTGGCAGGTGGATGTTTTCCTGCAGGCTCTGGTATCATATGACAAGGAGCACATCCCTGAGTCTTGTTTGACTGTGGTGAAAAAAGAGTATCTGAAAAACCCTGAGTTCCACCCTGATCTAGTACGGACCAAATCTACAGCTGCAGCTGGTCTCTGTGCCTGGACTATTAACATTGTCAGATATTATGAGGTCAGAAAATGCCTTCATGTACAGTATGTTGTATTAATAAATGTCTATACATTTCCTTTTTCTTTATGCAAGATGATTTCTTATTTATTTTGTTTTATTACATGCCCATGTCTTTTTTTCAGATTTATTGTGAGGTCATTCCAAAGAGGCATGCATTATCACAAGCTAATGCTGAATTAGAAACAGCAACAGCCAAAATGTTAACAGTTAAAAAGAAATTGGTGGTGAGTGCAAAGTTATTATTCTACTCAATTAAGTCACTTAGTCTAAAAGCTGGATTCTCTTGATGGTGTGTTATTCCCTTTGGTTTGTTTCTTTAGGACCTTGACACCAGCCTCCAGAGCCTCACAGCTCAGTTTGAAAAGGCTACAGCTGAGAAAATCAGCTGTCAAGAGGAAGTGACACTTACCAACCAGACTATTGAGCTGGCCAACCGACTGGTCAAGGGCTTAGAGGTAAACAAGAAGAGATGGGGGAGTTAATGGTGTCATTGTGGCTGACCTGACATAAGGTACACTGTCTGCCAGGGCCATGCATGGTGAGGAGCTGGTGATGGAATTGCATCAGTAATCTGGACTAGAAGTTGTTATGTCCTGGCAAGATAGCCTGATGGTTATGGGAGAAGATCAGACAGGGGGAGATTTTACAGCCTGGCCCAGCAGCATACTGGCCACTTGTGAGACAGGTAGACAGGGCTGGACCACAGAAAACGCATGGCTGAACAGGGCAACTGGCTGGCTGAGCGGTTTCCAAAGGGAAAATGGCAAAACACTACACTAACACTGTTCTCTGCCTGTGCAGTAGACATGTTTTTCTCTGTATTTGCTCTAGACATGGCATGTGAGTGTGCACATGTCTGTTTGGTGTACTTGTTTTTGTGTGATGGAACTAAAATCAATTCTCAGGTTTGTTTTGTTTGTTTTTCCAAAAGTTAAAATGAACTATCAACAGAAAGTTAAAGATCATGTGTATACAGAATACATTAATGTTAATCTTACAATCCATATGCTTATAATTTGTTAATGTTTTTTGTTTTTTTAATTGAAGCTTTCCTATTCAAGCCTTTTTTTTTAAAGACAAGGTATCTGTTATCATAATGAATGTGAATATAAAAAGAAGATGGTCATTTCAGTGGCCATTTTGTTACTTCGACTTTCTAATTCCAGAAAATAAATGTGGTTTGCATGAAACAGCTTGGCTTTTAAGCATATCAAGATAAATGTTTTGTCTTTATGGCATTGACCTGGAAGCAATAGTGCTCAGACTAATAAATCAGACCGTCTATATTTAATCATTAACTTATCTCAAAGCCTCAACAGCTGTTGGAAATTAACAATGTCTCACCCCAGACTGAGTGATATTACAGGCAATCCATAATACATTAGAGTAAAATTATAGTGATTTTTAACTGTCTGAGAATTTATTATGTGACATATTCTGGATCCACTGCCCCTTGTAAGAAAATGCCGTGCATGATTTATTGTTTCTGGTGCTGTCACAGTCATATTATTGAAGGTTTAAATTAATGCTGAATTAATGCTGAGTGAATCTACAGCCAACTTCCAAAGCTATTTAAGGGAATTGCAGTTGTATGCTTTATTGCTTACATATTCTAAACAACAAACTGAGTGGGAAAATGCCAAACCTGTACACAATCCTTTTTCCTCTTGGTATAAACTGTCTTCAGATCAACTGGAATCATTCCCTGTGAATAAGGTTATTTTCTGAGTGTCCCCTGTGTTTTTATTTTTCTATAATATTCAAACCTTGTCTCTCTCTTAGTTAGAGAAGGAGCGCTGGTCACAGGCAACTGTCCAGTATGAAAAGCAGCAGAAAACCCTGTGTGGTGATGTACTCATCACTTCAGCATTCGTCTCCTACATGGGATACTTCACCAGGCAATACAGAGTTGAACTCCTGAATGAAACATGGATCCCTTTCCTTCAGTCTATGAAGGTAAGGCCAGTTTTGCATCAGAGTCCGTGTTGTTTCTAGACTGAAGTTGTTTAGAAAGTAAAATTGTTCTCTCTACAAACAGACACAATTCTATGAACTGGAGCTCATTGAAAGGCCACCAGTTCTGTAATCATAGTGACATCATTCCTGGTTTTCTGTTCCAGGTCTCTGTACCCCTGACAGACGGCCTGGATCCAATCCTCGTGCTTACAGATGATGCCACTGTGGCTGCCTGGCATAACCAGGGCCTGCCAAATGATAGGATGTCCACTGAAAATGCTGCCATCCTGACCACCAGTGAGCATTGGCCACTCATCATTGACCCACAGCAGCAGGGCATCAAGTGGATTCGAAACTGGCTCGGACCAGAGCTGAGGGTGGTGCAGCTGGGGCAGAAAGGGTAAGCAGAGCTTCTGTCTATCTACTGTTAGAAATCATAATGTGCTGTTTAATCAGTCACAGAGCACTTATAACAACAGCAAACAAATTAGCATGTCATTTTTTAAACTAAGTTGCTTTTACTTATCTTCTAAGGTATCTTGATGTGATTGAACAAGCCCTCGCCTGTGGTCATACAGTTCTGATTGAAAATCTGCCGGAAAAAGTAGACCCAGTCCTGGAACCTCTACTTGGCAGAAACACTATCAAAAGAGGGAGGTATGTACTGAAACTACAACTTTACATTTATACTGTTGCCCTTAAAAAGATCACAAACATGCAAACATAAATACATGAACCATAAAAAAAACTCCCCAAAAGAGAATTCTACATTCTGTAGAGGCTATTTAGGATGGAGCTTTAAAGATCAATACATGGTTTTAGTATCCATGTAGGTTTCCAAGTCAATATGCCCACAACTTGTCCCAAATGTCTCTGTTGTTAGACAATAGGAGCAGATTTGCCAGATGGTTGAATCTCACTGAGAACTGAAACACCAGTAAGACATGACTGAATGCATTATTATTGCCCTCTCTTCAGATTATAAATGAATTTGCAGCGCGTGTTCTGAATCCCTGAGGCCAACATATTGATCTCCCCCTCAACACGGGTGATAGATGTATATTTGTGTGTTCATATTCTTTAGGTGTGATGAATATTGAACAGCTGAGCCTGTGCTCAGTGTAAAAACTGAATCGGGGGCAGTCATGGTTATGTATAAGGACTCCTGTCAGCCACAAAAAGATGGCATGCAACACACTAAATGCTGTGGTCTTCCATCATTATGGCAAACTCAATTCAGCTTGAATAAATTCATAACGTTGATAGGTGATTTGTTGGCATTTATCTGCATTCAATTATTTAGAAACTGAATGATAACATTTCTATGTCAGCTTTACATTTACTAAGATAACTTGCTGCATCTGGATTATTCATAAAATAAACAACAGTGTTTATTGTAACTTCTTTATCGTAATTGTCATTTAATGACGAACAAGGCATCACCAACTATGCTGCAAATAATCGTTTAAAATATACTTTAGATTTATGCACTCCATTAAAAATGGCACTTGTTTGAAACCTTTATTTGGTAAATTTGGCTGTAATTACCTTTGTTCTGTTACCCTCAAACCTAGCAAATGTCCTAAATGGGAGAACAAACTACATAAAAAAATACCACATATTGACATTCTGCTTTGACTCCCCCCTCAAAAATGTTTACATCTTGCTCTGATCTATGAACGACCATGAATATTGAATATTTGGTGTATGTTCATCGAACTTCCTCTGAAGTGCTGTCCATCCAGACCTTACAATTCATCATAGTAAATCTGATTATAAGTTTATCCCTTGTAGATGACCCACACACTTGTTTCTGTCGATGATTAATACAACCTGCTAGGGCAGCTCTGATGGATCTGGTAGGGATCCACAGCTGAAGTTCATTAATAATTGGAATGTTGTAGAGTGTGAAGTAATGAATACTAATTATTCCTTTCATGGCTGACGGGAGACTACAAGCCAATCCATCAGCAAGGACTTTAATTTGGTGGAGTAATGGTTCTATCAATAGTACATTAATTCTGGCTTGTGAAGATATAGAGTTAAACCAGACCCAGGCCATGAGGAACCTCTGCTGTAAAATTGGGGCCTTGCCTGATCTCCAAAGGGTAATTAGAGAAAAATGAAAAGCCACCAGGTTTGTCATGCAGCCGCTAATTTAATTGAAATGTAGGAAGAGATAAATATTGGCTGCTGAGGTGATAATCTTTAGATATTTCAGATTTATTTCTCCACAATATAAGTCACATTTGGACCCAGAGTGAAGTTCTTTTTCTACTTTTGAAGAGGCAAGTTGAGCAAAAGTTGATAAAATGGATAAAAGTGGCTTACAAGATGTAGTGTGTTTTATCTCACAGTTCACATCTATCATGGGATCATCGTCATTGTTGTTGTTACAATCATTTGTTTTTTATTGTAAATGTGATTGTTAAATTATCCACAATGTCCTTTTATAAAAGACAATAATGATATTTCTAGACATCAGAGACATCTTACCAGCATTAGTCTTCTTAACATCAAAAGTTTAAGAATCCCTCAAAAGCTTTGTTCAAACAAAACCAATAGGGACAGGTCTAAAGCTGTTCCTGGCTCACAAAAGTTTGCTCTTACCTAAGATAGTTTGACTAAACAGTACAAACTCATGTTTTTAAGATCACATGATATGATTTTAGAGCACAGACAAGAGCTAGTTAATGGGCTTCATTTACGTTTAAACTATTGGGATAACCATTATCTAAAGGTTTATTCAAATACTTTAGTCTGCAACAAAGCTGGGTATTGTCAATAGATGGTATGGACTATCTCGGTGACATCACCTACTATTTTCTGTAGCAGACTTTTGATGCTCATCGATGGCGTTCACCATAGTGGAAATGCTGTTTCAAACTTTCTTTGGAGCCATTGGCCTAATTTTTCAACACTGAGGTTACCACTGGTATTGTCTCATGTTTTTTTTTTTTTTACACATCCTTTCCGATGACAACTCCATAACAACATTAGGGTAGTGTACTTTTTAGTTATTCCGAGGATTTATCAAATGGCAATATTTCCTAAAGAAGCATAACAACACAGCCATCAAGTCATTGTTGGCCCTCATGTAATTTTGACGAGTTGAACTCTCCTGTTATCCAGGTACATTCGAATTGGGGGGAAGGAGTGTGAATATAACAGTAACTTTCAACTCATTATGCACACCAAGTTGGCCAATCCTCATTTCCCTCCTGAGCTCCAGGCCCAGACAACCCTCATCAACTTCACAGTGACTCCGGTGGGCTTGGAAGAACAGTTGCTGGGACAGGTAGTGTCTCGTGAAAGGCTCGAACTCGAGGCCCTAAAGGTAAATCCTTAGTTAAATAATGAAAGATGTAGAATGTTAAAACAACAAAAAAGCTTTTTTTTTTAAATTATTATTTAACACCAAATAGAAAGTCTGAAATGTTTCGTGCACTTTTCACAAGATGGAGCTGACAACACAGCAGAACTACTTCAAGATTGAGCTCAAGAGGTTGGAGGACGACTTATTGAGTCGCCTGTCTGCAGCCCATGGTAGTTTTCTGGGTGATATTTCTCTAGTGGAGCAACTTGAGAACACAAAAAACACAGCAGCTCACATTCAGCTTAAGGTGAGTTTATTAAAGGCAACAAGGGTCTTCTCAGTTTTCCCCCAGTAACTAAGCTCATGTGTTTTTTTAAGTCACTAAAGTGTTTTTGAATGTCACATAGCCACCTCATTTAATTGCATTAATAACAAATCATGTGATGTTTGGGATTATGTGTCATGAGAAGATTTTGGAGCATGACGGTTAGCTCATGTTGTACCACTGCATCACACAGGTTGTGGAGGCCAGAGAGAATGAGACAAAAATCAACGAGGCTCGAGAACTATACCGTCCAGCAGCTGAGAGAGCGTCGCTCCTCTTCTTCATCATCAATGACCTCAGAAAGATTAACCTCATGTACCAGTTTTCTCTCAAGGTAGAAGCTTTACCCCTGAAGTGTACTCTAGAGTGTTTCTGGCAGTGCTTAGAGTCTACTCTGACCAAAATGATTTTGTATGCATGTTCTGTTAGTTGTTTTTTCTTTTTCTGAAAGAGACATTAGGCAGAAAATAAAAGTTATAATTTGTGTCTTACCAAAATGTCAGTTTGTTTTCATTAATGTGTTCCTTATAAAAGCTCTGTGATACTTTTTCTTTCCTTTCAGACTTTTATCTCGATGTTTCAAAAAGCAATGGAGCGAGCAGAATGGGATGAGGATGTGAGGACCAGAGTGCACACCCTCACTGAGGCCATCACCTATTCTGTATTCCTGCACACCAGCCAGGGCCTGTTTGAGAGAGACAAGTTAACCTTCTTGTCACACACTGCCTTCCAGGTGAGGGACTCAGGGCCGCCTCAAAGGTGGGACCCCCTGTCATCGTCATCAATCAAAGCACTTTTCTGCCCCCACATTAACTTCAATTAAAAGCAGTCAGCACCACCATACGCTGCTATTGATTACCTCTCACAGCATCCCTCATTGCTGCTGTTCAGACAGTTGGTTCTGACAGGGGGGTTGGTTCTGATGGCATAATGCAATTATCTGTCATTGGGCCAACTGTTTTCATCTTAGAAATAGTGCTGCTCTGAAGGCTGTCCTTCAAACACCTATTTTACATTCAGAGGCAATTATTCAACCTTTAAGAGTTCTCCTAATCTCTTTAAAATAGTTTTGTTGCAGTTTTCAATCATTATTAAATGATTGAAAAGAGATCAATGCAACCTGGATCGTTACAAACTGATGTTGGTCCTTCCCCTCAGATTCTGCTCAAGAAAGGCCTGATTGATCCCCAGGAGTTTGACTTCCTGCTGCGTTTTCCTGTGGAGGCCAGTAAAGTTAGTCCTGTGTCCTTCCTATCTCCTCATGCCTGGGGAGCCATCAAGGTACAGTCTTGCCTTCGAACAATTGTGATGTAACATGTAAATGGGAAACAATCTCTTCAAATGGTCATCACTTCATACAAATATCCACTGCTTACAGAGGTTGTTACAATATATTTACATTTCATATAGACACTATCTACAATGGAGTACTTTAGTGGACTAGACAGAGAAGTGGAAAGCTCACAAAAACGCTGGAGGAAGATCATGGAGTCCAGCTGTCCTGAAAAGGAAAGACTTCCCCTGGACTGGAAGAATAAAAGTTCTCTACAGAAGCTTATTATCCTTAGAGCACTTCGCCCTGATAGAATAACATACACGTTAAGGTAAGTTAATGTCCCATTTACAATCTATTTGCCAGTATTGTGTATCCCCAAACTTGCCACTATTGTGCATTGCAGGAACTTTGTAGAGGAGAGCATGGGGACTAAATATGTGGAGGCTGTCAGGCTGGAATTTGACAAGTTGTATGAAGACAGTGGCCCATCAACCCCTGTGTTCTTCATCCTCTCCCCTGGAGTGGATCCACTCAAAGATGTTGAGAAACTAGGTACTATGTTTATATTCTGTCACTTACACAGCCAGTATCACTTAATACTGCTAGATTTTCAGATTTTTCTTTCTGTGCAGGAGGGAAGTTGGGATTTTCCATTGACCAGGGCACTCTTCACAATATATCTCTGGGACAAGGGCAGGAGAAAGTAGCTGAGAGGGTCCTGAAGAATGCCTCTAAAATTGGACACTGGGTCATTCTGCAGGTAGGAAGCATTTCTATTTAGTAACTAAGCTTCTGGACTGTAGTTATTCTAGGCTGCTCTACCAGTCAGGCTGTAATGCACCTAATGATATTATCTTATCCTGTGAGCGGGAGAAGTAAACTCAATTTGGTTCAATAAAAACTATAATTGGCTGGATCAGCTCCATGAATGCCTTCTTTAAGAGGAGAAGCTTGCAGCCAAGAAAGTCACTGGAGGTTTTCTTAGTAATTTAGAGCATAACAAGGTGTTTGTAAAATATATATTTTTACAAATAAGAACAAATCTAACATAAATGCACATAAAATAATTGTATTTTATCAACCCATAACATTATCATTGTTTTCTCTCATCTTTCAAAAAAAAAATAGCTTTGCCATGCAGAGCATATAAATACATAGTTTAAATCAGATTTCATACATTACAGCACACTGAAGTTGGGTGTTAATTTTTGACACTGCACGCTGTGTGTAATCTTATACTTACAAATATGTGCACTTGAACCTTAATCAACCACATACTTATGCATACTTGTGTGATAGGTGAACACAAAATAACTATCTTTCATTCTGTCAACTTGGAACAATCTGAAAAATTTCTTTGAGATCTTTTAAAATATTATTTGTTCAGAATGTGCACCTGGTAGCTCGCTGGCTGCCCTTCCTAGATGCACTTTTGGAGACAACAGCGATGGACAGTCACCCAAACTTTAGAGTGTTCATCACTGGGGAACCAGCTCCAAGTCCTGCGCAGCATGTGATCCCCAGAGGCATACTGGAGAATGCCATTAAAATCACCAATGAGCCCCCCACTGGCATGAACGCCAGTCTGCATGCAGCCCTCAACAATTTCAGCCAAGTGTGTTAAAGTTTTGATATATAAAAAATATGTATACATATGATTTTTTTTTTTTTTTAAACATATATATATATATCTGCATAGTAATGATGTGTACTCTTTCAGGACACTCTGGATATGTGTTCCAGAGAACAGGAGTTCAACTCGATGTTCTTCTCCCTCTGCTTCTTTCATGCCTGTGCCACTGAGCGCCGTAAATTTGGTCCCCAAGGGTGGAACCATAACTATCCTTTCAGCACTGGAGACCTCACCATCTCAGCCAGTGTCTTGTACAACTACTTAGAGGCCAACAGCAAAGTAAATTTAACACTACTTTAAAGAAGTATTTTAAATGTTTTGTTCAAATATTGACGATCACAATTTTAATTTGTTTTGACTACTACTTTAATAAGCTCTGTAAAAGTATATTGTTAATGGTGTTTGCTGTGGAATTATTGTCAGACTTGGATGTTTAATCACAGAGTTATGTGCAGATAACTTAGTGAAATCTTTTGTTCTAATGTTATTTGTGAAAAATGTTCAGTCTACTCTTTTATTCACATTTCTTCTCTTATAACTACACAACCTATAATTTAGCTTAATTTCATGAAGACAAAAAATCCATTCTTGAGATGCTGCACCCCTCACAACTCGTAATGCATTTTTCCTAGAACTCCTATTACTCTGGTCACAACCAATTATGTCTTGTAGGTATTCTGCCCTCCAAAAACGAATGTCCTTCATTATGTTAACCAAACAGTAACCTGTATGTGCGTATACAGAGAATTCATTAGGAGGGCAATGAAGCGTAATCCTAAATGTAATTACATGCAGCCAATGTGACAGTTCACAACGCTACATAAGTGATCACAGCAATTAGAGCTGATGAAGGAAGCAATTTGCAAAACAATACAGGTACAAATGATTGTGAACCTCCAGCTTTTGTAATTTGTTATGAATCACAGGTTCTTTTCTTCCTCCTTCACCCTCACGGATCATAATCTCCCGCTGAGGAAAAGACTCTTCTGTCATACATTAGATCAGTGTGTGTAAAGAAACATAATTCTGTTACATGTCCCTACCTTTATCATCATTATCGTGTTGGATCACATAGTAACTGCTCAAAGTTTTTTCAAAAGAGCAATGGTAAAAAGAAAAAAAAAGACCTGATGCTTTGAATGTGCTGAATACTTTGTGTGACGATCTTGATGTATCCTACAAACAGTTCTTTTCTCTTGTTTTCAGTTTCAGTTGATTATTTTTTAACCTTTTGAAATACTTATTTGACCTTATATTTGCATATTCATATCAGTCTGTGTTTAATTTAGTCCATGCAGGTTCCCTGGCAGGACTTATGTTACCTTTTTGGTGAGATCATGTACGGAGGACACATCACTGATGACTGGGATAGAAGGCTGTGTAAGACCTACCTACAGGAGTTCATGCACCACAAAATGGTAAGAGTTTATTAAGAAGAGTAAGGTAAGAAGAGTTGAGGTCCGTTTTATCTTTTTCTTTTTTTGGTTCTCCATGTCATTCAAAATAACCTTAAAGCATTCAATGAGACCAGACAATTCAGTTTCAGGAGTTTGTTACTGGTTCCAAGAAAAGGGAGCAGCAAACTTAAACTTTTCAGTTGAAGTTCAGTTCCCACCTTTTGAACACACAGTGAGTCCTCTGTCTGATATTAGGTTAGAAGGAACAAAAGAAGTAGAAGATAGTTTTGCATATATTAGAATACAGCAGCGTTTTAGTCTAGGTTTGAACAAAGAAGAATACCTAACATGTGCATACAGAGACAATGATGAGTGAGGGCATAACAATTCATGATGAACCTGAAAAGTAAAAAAACGTTTTACCAGCTGCTGAATCGGAGGTGTAAAAGAAAGGGATTCAACAGTTAAAATACGAATATATCTGTAGCTCCAAACACATTTCCGTCTGTGCACCTTGAAAAGTGAAGGTGTGGTGGTTTGGATTTTGCGTTTGAAAACAGCTGGACTTTTGTTTTATCTTCTTTTAAAACAACTTTAACCAGTTTAAATGACACATTTTCAAGATTTTAAAAATGTGCTTCTTGTCTACTGGCAAATCAATCAATGCCTGGTTACAACATACATTTAATTTTACTGAGCCAAGTTGTGAGATAAATCCATTGAGCTGCTCTGAAACTTTAGCTTCTGTAGTTCAGGTAAAGGGTGCCCCCTAGGGATGTATACCTAAACTGCAATTTTATGCCAAGCTTGGATTTTTTCCATTGCGGATTTTTCCATCTTCATTGTTACTGTACTTTGTATTTCTCTATATTCTACATTCTACATTCATTAACTTTAAGAATCATCAGGTTGTTATTTGGTGTGTTGCTATTCAGCGTGTGTTTAGTTTATAGATACTTCAATGGGAATTTTCCTTTTCCCCCGCCAGAACACGGATATCTCTCTGCTTGTACTACCAAGTTAATGTGCAATGGTTCACAAGGGAGTGGTTAAGACAATCAGATTGTCTGTGTGTTTTGCAACAGGTTTTTACTTGTGCTGCGATCAATCATGTTTCGTGAAATCAGAAAAAGCATCGCTTGAATTAATTATTGCTTGGATTTAAGAGGTATGTTGGGATGTTTTTATTGTATATAATAAATGATGTGCATTTGTGTTTTAATCTTTGGATCCTCAAATTTCCAATTACAGTTTGAAGGTGAACTCTTTCTGTGCCCTGGGTTCCTTGCCCCTCCATTCATGGACTACAGTGGTTACCACAGTTATATAGATGAACTTCTTCCATCTGAGAACCCCACTCTGTATGGTCTTCATCCAAATGCTGAGCTGGAGTGCCTCACTGTCAGCTCAGAAAACCTCCTGAGGTCTCTGCTGGAGCTGCAGCCACCGGAGTCCTCGAGAGGAGATGGGGCCACTCAGAGCACAGAGGAGAGGGTGAGGAGGCAGAAAAGAAAATACAACAGAAAAAGTAACTGGGGGGGCGCTGGTTGCGCAGTGGTTAGTTTGCGTGCTCCAAGCGGGCGGCCCAGGTTTGAATCCAGCCTGTGGCTCCTTTCCCGCATGTCATTCCCTACTCTCTCTCTCTGATTTCCAACTCTATCCACTGTCCTATCTCTCCATTAAAGGCACAAAAAGGCTAAAAAATAAATCTTAAAAAAAAGAAAAGAAAAAGTAACTGGGAACTTTCATATACCTATACATGACATGAGTGTCCTGTTTTTCAGGTCAAGTTGGTCATTGAAGATATCTGCGAAAAGCTTCCTGAGGAGTATGACATGGCAGAGATTATCACAAAGACAACAGAGCGAAGCCCCTACATTCAAGTCTGTTTTCAGGAGTGTGAGCGCATGAATCTTTTGCTAGCAGAAATCAGGAAGTCCCTTCATGAGCTGGATCTGGGCCTGAAGGTACAGCCATTGTGACATTAACACAGTCATCCTTTATCAAGAGTTATATTGCATAGCATTAAGAAGGATTTCTTTATCCACAGGGAGAACTAACCATCTCCTCCAGTATGGAGACTCTGCAGTCAGCCTTGTTCAGTGACTCTGTTCCAGATTCCTGGGCCCGACTGGCTTATCCCTCCACAAAAACACTGGCACTGTGGTATCCACTTTTTCCTCTTACAATCTTCAGTATTCTACTCAATATTTTATTCTGAATTTGCTTTTTTACTGTTTCCTATTACCTACCTAATCAGTTGGTATTATAGTATTGTGAATAAAGTTGAAGAATGTCTTCATACATGAAGGTTGTGTCTTGTTCTAATTGCTTCAAACAGTGACATACCATGTTTTTACACACATTCTTACAGGTTCAGAGATCTGTTGTGTAGCTGTCGAGAGCTGGACAGCTGGACTCAGGACTTGGTTCTTCCTGCAGTTGTTTGGCTCTCAGGACTTTTCAACCCACAGTCTTTTCTTACTGGTGAGGTCAAAATCCCCAAACCAAAGACAGAGATGATTTAGATTAAAAGTGCAACAAAGACATCTATTAACATGAAGACTTTTTTTTCCAGCTGTGCTGCAGAGCATAGCTCGCAAGAATAAGTGGCCCCTGGACAAGATGACTCTGATTGTGGATGTGACAAAAAAAACGAAAGACGACTTTGGACATCCACCACGAGAAGGAGCCCTCATTCATGGATTATACATGGAAGGTCAGAATTTTTATAACCACTATGACCCTCCTTCAAATTCTGCTGTAATTAAGCGAAATGAGCATGTCTGTAATTCTGTTAGTTGAACATGTCGTGTGTCCTCATAGGAGCTCGCTGGGACACTCAGTCTGGACACATCTGTGAGGGGCTTTTGAGGGATCTGACCCCAGCCATGCCGGTGCTGTATGTCAGAGCTGTGCCTGCAGAGGAGCAGGAGCTGAAGAATACCTACGAGTGTCCGGTGTATCGCACCAAGCAGCGTGGGCCCACATATGTGTGGACCCTCCACCTCCGAACCAAACAGCCTCCTGCCAAATGGATTGTAGCTGGAGTAGCTCTGCTGCTGTCTGTGTGAGTCATAAGCAGAATTCATCAATCAATCAATCAATCAATCAATCTATCAATCTATCAATCAATCAGTCTTTATTTGTGTAGTGTCAACTCATAGCAAGTGTTATCTTGAGACACTTTACAAAAGAGCAGGTAAAAGACCATACTTAATGCTATATTACTAAGACCCTGCTTAATCCATTGTGAGCACTTAAGCAATGCAGCAAAAGTTGCAGTGGTAAGAAAGAACTGCCTTATTAAAAGGCTTATTAAAATCTTCGGCCGGATCCCAGGCTCATGATGAAACAGCCTTCACAGGCCTAGACTGCACCAGGCTTGAAAATTGGCTTGAATTGTACGGAGGAAATTTGTTAAATCAAGTTGTTCTTTAAACAGTGTTATAAACAGATCTTCTATGGAGGAGAATCTTCTTATTCAGACAGTTTTTAATCATGTAATGTAATCATTTAACTTTTTTGACATGTTTTCTTGTAATTATTAATTGACCATACACAAGTATACTCTTTTATCTTGTATTACTTTCATTGTATCCGGTTTGGTTCATACTTGACAATAATGACATTGTAGTGTGTTAATGTTTCCTTGTTTTAGATTAAAAGATAATGGAAACTAAGAAGTGCAGATGCATGTTTAGCCGCTCTAAAACCTGTTGTGTCTATGTCCCACACTGTTGAACTTCTCCCCTGAGATGGTTCAGTCTGGACATGATTTGTTGGGAGCTTATGTCTCCATTTTCAACCATGTAATTCTGGATTGGGAGCATATTTTATTGGAAGGTCAAGATTAAAAAAGCTCTCTGGCTGCCCTCTACTAACTGAATGATACACAATGCCGTCTGGAGGGTTCCCGGACAGAATTCCCAGGAGATGATGTGCATGGTCGCTATTGACTTTTAAATGAGGTGCATTTGACATTGACCTTTTGTAAGGCAGAGGCAGAATACTAACAGACTAGTGTAATTCATCCAGCCGGTCCTGTTGGAGAAACCTATTCAAAGACACTGATAGCTTTCTATGAGAAGGAAACACATTAGACTGCCCATACTTTATATCTATCTTTGCTCTCAGTTAGCATCTGATGAACCTTATACCAAGCAAATTAAACCTCTGAATGAGTCTAAAGAAACCTTAATTTTATCTAAAATATCATTCATTCATTCATTCATTTTAAACCAGTTTCATGGAGATTAAAGGAAAAACCAAAGAGGTTAAGAATGCTGTTTGTGTGTGATTATGCAGATTATAGCGCACAATGGTTCATATGGCCTCCAATGTCCCGTTGGTCAGAGATGCATAAATATACTGAAGGCGTTCCAGAGTCTAGGCATTACTCATATAGAAAAGTTATACACTCAAAAAAATCAAAACACAAAAAAGAGGTGCTCAGATGTGAATTTGTGCAGACATTAAATAGGGACATTGAAGAAATACAAAATAACACGCTGCATATTTATCATTCTAAAGCAGCTTATTGAGTATCAGTTTATATGCCTACAAATAGTCAAAGGAGGTGTAATATAATCCTCTAAGATAAACACAGACCTTTTAATGTAAAACAAAAAAAAAAACAGCTGCTGAATCGAAGGTGATTATTTTTGTTGATAGAGATCAGAACTCTAATCTCTTCAAATGAGATTTTTCTCCAACACTAATAACCGCTGTGTTGCTCTTAATTTCTCTGGCTGAAGACACACCATGTATTGTATTGCATGGTGGAAATGAAAGACCTGTTTCCTGTAGTTTTTCTTCATCTGCCCTCTCTTCCTCTCATTAACACAACACGGCAGCTAGCCAGTCATTTGGTGACAGGGAAATGATACAGTGCTGGCAGTGTTTGGGAGGAAATGGCAGGGTAGGAGGCCCAGAGCAGCAGGGGTCCAGCCACAGATAGTCATGTTAAAGGCCATGCAGGACACCTGGCTAAATTCAGCAAAGGCATCTGGGTCACAGCTCCGCCTCACAGCAACCAAGAAAGACATTGTGTACTGATGGTTTTGTTATACCATTTTTTTAACAAAGGGTGCATGTTTTTAACCTTCTTCAATCACTGTTGTTGTGAGGAAACAGCTTGTCAAGTAAAATAAAAAATAACGTTCATTTTGTTTAGTTCTTTGTGACCCTTGCAGAGAATGGTGTATATTATCCTTTAAATGCAGGAAAAATCCCTCTGTATGATAAAAACAACCTTCTCTGAGACCTGTCTGTTAGCAGCAGTGACAAAAAAGAAAGAAAGAAAAAGAGTCAATCTTCCTCCTCATGATGAAAAATATTTTTATGCACAGTCGACACTGGTGGTCAATCCATGGTTTTCCATGTCATGCAGACCAGCCAAATCAGTGTGTACAACAAAAACAAAAAAACACAAAATCAAAACATATGATCTAATCAGCAAATAAATAATTCTGTATTAAATAAAAATCCACAGAATTTTAACATATTTACAGTATGAACAACTATACAATGTTGATGATACAAAGGAAATTCAAAATAAGAGAAATACTGTTTGCTTTATGTCAAGTTGACTAATAAAATATACAAATTCAAGAATGATTTAAAAAACATAAAAACATCTACATCGCTTTCACAATGCCTACTTTAAATGATGTTACTCAAGCCTTTGACAGCTTTCTGTTATCCAATTTAAATAATAAATATTGCATCTTTGACTACACACTTTACATTTGTCTACCTTTATTTTTACAATGTGCTGTACTATCTTTCTGTTTATTGAGGATAACAGAGACTAGCTGTAGCGTAAAGTAGAAATAATAATAAGACAGAGACTCATCAGAATTGGTCTGCTGCTTATTTGAACTGATTGTCCACAGCGAAACTTATACCCAAGCTTTAAAAAAATTAGCAATTAGCATTTGTTATAATTGACATTCCTATGGAGTTTTGGCACTCGCATACATTTGAGTATACTTACACACAGGACACACAACCTTTCACACCTCTAATGTCCTCCTCTAACACCTTTTGCGTAAAGCCTCACTGAATACTCTATGTTAAGCTTAATTAAAGATAAAATGCATTGAAAGAGACTTGAAAATAAAATGCTGAAAATTTAACGATCATTACTTGTTCTGTTGTCTATATTAAGTCAGCTCGACGGCAGTTTGTTGTGCAATCACTGAGAGCTGATTTATAACTATCTCTGTTACCTGGAGGAGAGAACATCTGGATTGTGTTCAGCGCTGAGGAAACAGAAGTGTGTGATGTACTAGACTAAAATACTCTTTGGTTAAATGAGATGGAACAAACCTCTCCTGCCAGATCTACTAACAGATTGTGAAAATACAAAACGTACATGTTCTGATCTCATGGTCATATCCTCCATGCTTGGCAGCTGGCTCCTTTTCTGTAGCTCTTGATTAGACGCATGTTATGTGAAAACATGCTCCTCTGCACTGACTATTGATTCTCCACAAGAGAGAGCTGTTGGGTCTTTTTCAGAAAAGCTCTAAAGCTGCCAACCTGTGCAGTTGGAGTTACACTTGTGTTGTGCTGCTGAACAGTTTGATGATGTAACTGTGATCTTGTTTTGAATCTATTCAGGCTAATTTACTTTTAACCTTGAATGATTTATTTGCTATTTTTCCCATCCCTAATGGTGTTTCCTGATAGAGCAGCTCCCTCCTGTGGTTGGCCGGGATCATGCAGCGTCCTCTGATTGCTGACCTGAGAGATAGATGAGACAGATAGATTGTTCCTTGGCGATAGGACTGCGTGTGTAGTGCAGTAAGAGCTGCTCTCTAAGCACGAGGCTCTAGCCTATGTGAGAGTTCAAACAGAGTCTGCTGATTGTCGATGATATGAAGGTAATCAATGTAGGCTCGCACTTCTGGGCTGCTCTTCTGCATGATGCCGTTTCCTGGAGGGAGAGGACAGATTTGACTTTACAGATAAGACAGCGTCACCCAGGACAACTCCTCTATCTGTACTGTGAATAAACACCTCCAAACCATCTCCTTATTGATGTGGCCTCATTCTAAAACATTATGTTAAATCAGGCTTTTCTTGACCTTGGATCCCTTTGATCCCAAGACAAGTGTGTGCATCACAATGAGGTTTGAAAACATTCTTATTATGACATGCTTGGGCATTAAAAATTGTTTTATGTCAAAAATGTAAAATTTTGTGGAAATCATCTTAAGTTGTCCTTAAGCAGATTGAAACTCTATGGAGATGGTGAGTTTAAAGCAACTGATTGTATTCACTTTTGTGGTCTTTGACCTACTGTTTAAAATGCAGTTCTATCACAGATAACAAACAGACAAAAAACACTTCAAGTTCAAGGACTGTGTGAGCTGAACACTGACCCATGTGATCTTTCTGACACTGCCGGATGATGCGCACAGTCTCTGCTATCATGTGCTGGAAAAAAAATAAAGAAAACATCATCAAACCCCACATTTCAAAACACATCACCTCATTGTGCTTTCTGAAGCTGAGCGCTTTAACAATCTAATGAACTCACCAGCTTTTCAAAATTGACCAAGTTGTCATGAAACGTCTTGTTGCCTTCATGAATGAATGTGATATCTAAAACAAACAGACATTTTTTTTTTAGACTCCAACAACAGGTTGTTAAGCTTTGATGTCTTTTGATTGTTTCTACAAGTAAGATCTGCCTGGTAGAAATGTATCTCCCAGCGCTCTCCTCTTACAGTCACACTCGTCACAGGGACGTGACGTGACGGAATAATGAGCGCACCTTTCAGAAGCAGAGGAATAAAGGGGATCTTTGGCGCCTTCATCTTCTTGAAGGAATCCCTGTAGGCTTTGTGATTCAGCGACGGATCCTGTGAACACATTGTCAAAAACAATGAGTCCAATTCTCCAGAGAGGGCTGTGTGCCTGTGCATGCGTGCTTTGTTAAAGCTGAAAGATGGCAGCATTAGAGAGTAATGATCATATAAAACGCCTGATGTTGCTCCTGATGTTTTGAAGTGAAAACATCTGTTAGTTCCAAATCATACATAATAAAGCACAGCCTTGTATTTTCTACTACAGTGGATTAATGTCACTGTTTTTTTTTTTTTTTTCACAACAGATGA